CCCTCGATCACCCCCTAGCCGTCAGCGATCAAAAAAAAAAAAAAAAACAGGTCAAAGTGTTTCCCCGGCGCTGCGTCTCAGAATTATTTTTAGCTCCGCACACACTCCAGATATCGTGAAAAGAAAGAGCCAGAAAGTCAGAGCGGAGCCCGGTCCAGGAGAGGAAGACGGGATTATCTGGAGCTATTGTTGTGAGGCACGAAAATAGAACGAAAAACACTGACATCACCGACATCAAACGGAGGCGTGTGTCTCACCTTCGCAGCCATGTCCACCAACATGACCAGCTTCAGAAATTTACCATCACCTTCTTTCAGGAAGTCCAGGAGGCTTCCTGAAAGAGACACAAACTCCATGAATATTTGACCGTTAACTGTTGAGGAAATACTGCGATATTTATACGTGCTTCAAAGTCAGCGTCGGGCTGTTTGGAAGCAAATGCATAAATATTTTTGGTATAATTTTTAAAAACACAATGACAGCAAAATACCTTGGACAATTCAATGCAACTTCAATTAAATGTATGGAAAATTCAAGTAACTTCAACCTAAAAAAACAGCATTAAAACTTGAGCTTTTAAACAGATGGAAGAACTGCTGAGTAGTACAAAAAACACTTTCCCAAAATTATTTTACTACTTGCCAAAAAACCTTGCTGTGTCCCAGTGGTTCTGTCTGCTGCCGCTTTAATCTGACTCACAGTGACATTTTTGTTTATGTTGATTTTTTAGCTTTAATCTGACTCACTTTTTGTTTATGTTGATTTTTATGGTTTATCTCTGAGAAGAAGACAAATCTTTCTGACCTGGAACAACGACAGCTTGGACTTTGTTTTGAATTGATTTCTCTTCACATTGTTGTGTGATGTTTGGTGATCTTACAGCTCCGACGCCCCGGTCCTCTGCTCTCACCTTTGGTCATGTACTCCGTGACGATGTATATGGGCTCCTCCGACACCACGGCGTACAGAGGCACCAGCTTGTCGTGTCGCAGCCTCTTCATGATCTGCGCCTCCTGGAGGAACGCTTCAGGCGACATGGTCCCCGTCTTCAGCGTCTTGATGGCCACCTTGGTGGTGCCGTTCCACGTTCCTGCAGCAGAGGGCGAGACCACAGTTGGTTCTCTAAACACAGAGGCTCAGTGAGGGACAGACATATCTGGACGGTCTCCGGAGACACGGAGGAGACGACAAACGGAGGAAGCTGCTGCAGGAAGTGAAGCGATTCCCAAGGTGAGGATTAAAATAGAACACGACGAACCTGGGCTGCCGGGACGTTAATGTGCTGCGGATTTATGTTCGTGAAGTCGCCACTTCCTGTGTATAATACGACCGTCCACTGTTAGTGCGGACATCCGTCCTGAGGGATGTGACCGGCAAACGTTCTGCTATGAACGCAACCTGAATTTAAACTGTTAAAGTACACACAGTACAGTACGGAGAAATACTACTGTCAGTACACACTAACTGTAGCTGTATCTGAGTGGGCAGAATAATGGCAGCGATGCCTTCACTGTCCCAGGAAAATGGATAAACCCACAACTGTCTTAATGCTGATCGGAGGTTTTAAAATCCATAACCGTAAAAGACATTTTCTTACTTTAAATCTTTTCTTTTTCTATTTGTGTTCAGCGTAAATAAAAACTAACATCATTATGTCATAAACCAGGGGTGTCAAACATTGGTTCAGGGGCCACATACAGCCCGGTTAGAAGACAAGTGGACCGGACCAGTACAATCATAACATAATTACCCATAAGCAACAATAAGTCCATGTTTTTCACCTTTGTTTTCATGCAAATAAGTAAATAATTTTATTAGAAAATATTCTTATTTACTGCAAAATATGTTTCAAAATTCATCAAGTGGGCCAGATTGAAACCCTCCAGTGGGCTGGTTTTTGCCCGTGTGCCGTATGTTTGACACCCCTGCCGTATACAATACGTTAAGTTGGTTCTTGGTTCTTACCCATCCAGACTTCTCCGAAGCAGCCCTGTCCCAGTTTGACCTCCAGCCGCAGCGACTCTCTGGGGATCTCCCAGGCGTCTTTGGCCAAACCCTGGGTCTGGGGCTTGACCGTGGGACAGACGGACGTCAGTCGGTGACACAGCCCGTCGGAGTGTTCTGCGACAGAGGGACACACGGTGATGAAGCTGCTGGACTCCAGACTCCACGTACACAGGTGCGTTCAATGACTGCGCTAAATAAAACGTAAGTACTGTGTACTGTGTACTGCAGTACTCACCGGAGTAGTGTTTGACCAGTTTCTGTAACGTGTCAAACTGCGCACGAGTGGTGATGTAGTAGCCGCCGCTGTCCAGTTTGCGGATCTTGTAGTGTTTGACGTTGTCTCCCTTGACTTCGTCCCAATCTCGTATGGAGAGAGAATAGGCCCCTGCAGGTGAGGAGAGGAACTACATCAATTAAAATTATTATTCCTGAAAAAACTGAGAATGATGTGAAGATCTCCTTAAACAGCAGTTAAGGCAGTAAATCCAAAATGAAAACAACCGTTTCACCAAACTCACCTTTAGTGGTTTCACTTTCTCGCACCAAGTACGTTCCTCGATGGTTCCCCGTGATCAGCAGCAGCCTCTCGGCGTCTTTACGTCCCATTTTTCCAAAATACCACCTGGGAAAAAATGCACCAGAAAACGACGGTGAAGTCAAACACTGACAACAGTCTCCATGTGATGTCCCTGACTCTCAAACTGTGGCCTGTGTACCAGCTGTGAGACACTGGCCACAAAGATTTTCTTCTCTTTTTTTTAATAGATAGAATAAACAGCTTCAAAACTTTTATATAGATCTGTTGCACCGAGCGACAAGTACGGGGGTACTCTGGGAATCGTACCCAGGACTACCTGCTCTCTGCTGCTGAGGCAGGTGTGCTACAATTATGGAACCACCAAAAAGGTGCAGGAGACGACCTAGGTGGGACTCGAACCCACAATCCCCAGCTCCGGAGGCTGATGCCTTATCCATTAGGCCACTAGGTCATTGGTAAATGACCAATAGTAAATGATGGTTTTGATTAATCACGATTAATTGAAATAAAATAATATTCAAAAATGATACAAATGGTGTAAAGGAAGGTGAAATTAAATGTGGAGCCAAACATTCATGAATGTCTCCGTTTGACACCTCCCACCCTACCCCCCCTGGTGGTGAGGCTGTAGCTGTTCAGTTCTGTGCCTTAATTTCATAAAGATCACACTGCTGCCATTATCCCCCAGGTGGCGCTGCCCTACAAATGCAGTCATGAGGTGACGGGACTCAGCGAGGACGTCTTACTCTTCGGCCTGGATGGAGTCCGCAGGAGCCACGTAGTTACTGGGGATGTATCCAGTCTTCCCCGTGTTGATGGATCGAGCCTCCCACCAGTCGCCTTCCCTGCAGAGAGATGAGGGACAACAGGTACTGACGTCACCCGACACTTATCAGTCTCAGAGTGTGACTAAGACACATGAGAGAGACGTTTAACGTCAACGAAACCCTCAACAAATTTAACCCGAAAGAAGTTAAAGTGCCGTTAAACCAAACGCTGCGACTCATTTTCCATCTACTTAGCATAAAAACACAACGACACCAGCGCTGCGTCGAGGGTTCACAAAGCTGGAAAGAAGCAGTAATCACACACACACACACACACACGGAGCAGGTGCAGCAGGACAAAAAAAAACTGTCACCAATGCACAGCACACGAAGACACCTGTTCAAATAAATGTCCCATAATTCATTTCAACAGACTGGGTCGCCTCCCTACGGGGCGGATGCGTTTAGGCGTCTGGATGGTGCTTCAGATTTATCAAGGCTTCAGAGACGAAGGTGAACTTCCTGTTTATACTGAGTCTGTGACAACGGCTCCAGAAAATAAATCTAGAATATTTAAATTTTTAATTTTCATCAAAAGCTCCGTATTAACAGCCTGATGATGAATTTAAACACCAATTATTTATTGTGTGAGAAACTCTTACGTGTTGTTGATGATCTGGAAGCGATCGCCTTTTTTAAAGGTCAGGTCATCTGACGTTCTGGCTTCGTAGTCGTACAAGGCCACGAAGAACGTGACTCCACCTGAGAACACAAGAACATCCGTCCGTCATCTCCACACTCTGTCCTCAGCTGAGGAACCGACCAATGTTTTTAGATTCACAAGTTAAACGTCGCTCAGTCGGAGGGCGACACACAAAACAACCACATCAGGAATCGGCCCCACAACCACCTGATTCAATATATCGACTCAACTCACTTGAAACAGCACCAGAGAAGGAGTTGGACACTGGACCGGAGAAGGAGCAGGACATCCCTCCGAATGGAGTCATCACGGAGGAGGAGCCACCGAAGGGCGTGAGGCTGTGGTTGAAGTTCGCTGCTCCAGGTGCCGCTGAGCCGGGATGGTTCTGCAGCAGCTGGGTGGGCTCTGGTCCGTAGTGACCTGCATGAGGTTTGGCGGCAGCGGCGTTGGCGTCTGACACCGGAGTACTGTCCGTGTGGTACTTCGTGGCCGCTCCTTTGTCCTGTTTGCTCTTAACGCAGCCCATGGTCTTGACCTTGGTGGAAGGAGAGAATGGAAAGATCTGAGGGTGAACATTTGTCACGCCGTGGTTCTCTGACGAGGTTCTCTGACGAGGTTCTCTGACGCCTCGGTTCCAGTGGACGTGTTTAGAACCGACACTTGGAGCCAAAAGAACAAAGAACTGATTTTATCTTCAAGAAAACAAAAACATGAAGTCATGGCTATACCAGTGACTCTCAAACTACGGTACGCAGACCACTGGCTGCACAGATTTTTTTTCCCTAGAGAAAATAAACAGCTTCAAAAGCAACAAAACACATTTTAGTAATTAGTCGTTATTACACGGTAGTTTTGATTTAATTACAATTAATCAACTAAATTAATTTAAGTATTATTCCTATATGATACAAAAACCCATTTCTTTTGGAATACTCCTCGAACAGAGAGACCAATGTCTGCAGGTAGAGGTCAGTATTTCACACCTGGTTTTTATTTGTGGCTAATTCAAATGATGGAATTATTAATGTGGGAAAAAAGGTCAAGAAAAATCTCAGAAAGTCCGAGTGAAAATGTCTCTTCATGGAGTTGATGTGTGTTTCAGTCATGACTCTTCATCTTGTCAGGTTCTTGTAGAACATGTGGAACAGGTTCGTTCTAAACTTCAGTCCAGTCCTTGTCCCCGTCCTCCCTCCCCTCCTTAAAGACGTGATCCGCTCAGTGACTTCAGCGGCCTTGATGTGAGGAGGTGGGCGGGATCTTTTTTCCGCCTCATCAGAGAAGAAAGGCTTGTAATCCCGAGTTCACGGAGTTCTCCAGCTGTGCTGCCAAGGAAATCGAGGAAATGAGGACAAACCACAGAGTTCTTCCAAAGATCCAAACGCCCGTGCTCAGACACGACCGCACGCCCGGACCTTAAATTGCAGGTTACGGCGAGCGCCGGTCATTGTACGAGCCTTTGACGAGGTGATCAGTCAGCAAAGATGTGTCGAAGAAAAACAGAAATATTCAGAAAAGGATTCAAGGGGAGTCGCCAATAAATCCACCCTGAAATGGTCGACATAAACTCTTTGACCAGAAGAGTTAAAAAACACGGCCAAGAACTTTTTTTTTTTTTTTACCTTTGATCATGAAACAAATGAAAGCCAGACTGGACTGGACAGCAGTGAAGTCACCAGACTATAAAACACTGGCCAGTGTTTCTGGAACATTCCCACCAAAGAGCTTTTATAAAACACATGATGTGATGTCACTATCCCCTAGTGGTCAGAATAAAAACACAAGCCCTGAGCTGAACACGTGTGGAGAAAGAAGGAAGACGTCACCGCCGCAGATCTTCTAATTCTCAACAACAGACTTTTTTTTTTAATCCAGCTCTGAGGAAAATAACAATAATAACTACAATCATTAGCAAAAATCCAACTATCGTTACCAAACGTTAAACGAACTAAAATTTGTCACTGATGTTAATCGAGGATAAGGTTCAGAATTTTTTTTTTCAACTTTTGCTTCAACTGAAGAAAATTTAAACTTAAAATGATAAAAACATGTTGCCAAATTTTAGGATTGCTAAATGCTAACACTGAAGAAGAAGTGTTCAATATTAGCCCAGCGACAACTAGACCGTAGCCACCAAATGCTAAACAATAAGCCCAGAAAAATTTAATAAATTGTTTCATTTTGTCATGTGTCATGTCATGTTGACAAACAACAGAAGAATCACTCCAGGAAAGTCATCACGGCTCAGTCCTCATCCTCTAGTGTTGGAATGCAGCCGAGGACACGTTCAATATAACTGAACTGAACTCCTGGTTTTTGAACAACGTCTTTCTAACACCAACGTGATGGAGTCGAACAGACGACAATGAAATTATGTGACCTTTGACCTGTCAGCACAGACAGCTGAACTGAGCTGAGAAGCCTTGTGTGATGCTGGAGTTTCTCCGTCAGTCGGTCAGTGGTCTGACTCAAACCCTGCCCGGCGCGTTTACCGACAGCTGTTAGCAGCTGACGCTCTCTGGAGCTTCACCAGGCCTCAGATCTCCAGATCAACACATGCTGCCCACCAGCGTCCGCCACATTCCTCAGGTGCCAAAAGGTCAAAAAAAAGAAACGTCATCTGAGGACGTGAACAACACGATTCCTGCGGAGACTTCGCTCTTACAAGACGATCCTGGTGTAGGAGTGTGACGCAAGAGTGAACTCATCCCCCGGGGGCTAACGGGCAGGCTGAGGCCGGCAGGGTGAGAGAAGACATGTTGGGGAGGTTTGATTAGAGAAATGGAAAACACGGCCTGGAGAAATTCTCCTGGAAATGAATGTTCAGACCTGAGAGACAGGATCAGTCAGAGCTTCAAGTCCACACCGATTCACCGACTTCACAGTTTTTAGGCAACTTCCTGTTGGTTTACGAGCAGCGAGATGTCAACACCTGTCAGGAATGTCAGTGTTTTGGAGTTAGCATCTGTCGAAGCAGCTTTTTTTTGCATTTGTGGCCTAACATTTCCTGTCTATTAGCTAACTTTTAGACGTGTACAGTATGTTGGTGTGTTTTGGCTAACTTTTAGCTAAATCTTCATGCTTCCTTCGAGCTAAGTTTTGGCTTATTTCTCAGCATTTTTTAAATTTTTGTGCTAATGTTGGGTATTGTTGAGTATACTAAGTTTTGGCTTATTTCTTAGCATTTTTTACATTTTTGTGCTAATGTTGGGTATTGTTGGGCTAACTAGCTATAGGTTGGTTAACTTGGTTTCTTTTATTTGTTTTAGACTTTAGGCTAACTCTTAGTGATCTAGTCAAACGTTCACGCGTCTTTTGGCTAGCCTTTAGTTGTCCTGATCGTAGGCTAATATTGCTTCATCAGCTCAGAAGTGCAGCCCTGCTCTGGACGAACGCTTCATATAATCTCCTCACATTAGAGTGTGACCGTCGGTGACATCATCACCCAAAGCCGCCTTCAGACGACTGGGTCGGTCACCAGAACTGTTTCCAGTTGCTGCTCTGACGGTTGTTAATGGACCGAGACCTGAGCCTTTGGATCAATAAGTAGAGATTTCAAGAGCGAAAGACCCCAAATTATCTCCTCGTCCTCCGCCTTCTCACCCCCCAGACCTCTTTTCAGGTGAGATCATACTGTACATTACCTCACTGGTACAAACACTGCTTAAAAAAATCCAAACTATCCCTTTAAACCGGTGACCAACCCTGACTGGAAAAACTGGAAGGAAGTGGTGATTAGATTAATCTAACTCAGCCATGTTTACCTTCAACCCCAATACTTCTATTTAGACTTTTATATTTTAATATTGTTTATTATTTATTGTTAATTTTACTTTTGTACTTTTGTAAGTGTTGGATTCTCCCTTGTTTGATTGGCTGACACCTCGGCCAAGAGTTTTCCTTAGTTTCATGTCAATGGAACTTCCTGGTTTAAAAACCGTTTTTTATATTCTTTATCACCACTAATGCACTTCCGTTTCCCACTAAATTCATGTTCTGACACGAACTACAGAATGATCTGAATTTGTGAGAACCAGTTTTTCCAGGGTACTGTGAGACCATGTCCTACTTTCTCGGTGTTGAAGTGACAGCGGAGCAGAATCCACTGGGACTTCACCACATGCTCTGAATGAAATTACTCTTTTAAACAGCCTGTCGTGGGTCCCTTTTTTTTAAGAAAAGAAAATCGGGATTAGATTTCCACCCTGAGCCTCAACCCTTTGTCGGTGACAGGGTCCCAGACAGACGGGCAGCGGCAGCTGGAGGTTCCGGCCCATCCTTATCTGATCCTGCAGCCCTGACAAAGCCCACTCCAGTCTACAGCCCAGAGCTCTACAAACCTGCTGTGACTCCTTTCTCCTTCTTCTTCTCCTTCTTCCCTGCTCCCCTTCAGTCAGATCCGGTTAAGAAAAAAACAAACAAAACACACACAAAGTCAAGTCCCCAGATCAGTCCAGTCGGAGTCCACGCGCCTCCATCCTCAACTCCGTCCGTGAATCCAGCAGCGGGAGTCTGGGTGGGAAAGACTGGAGCTGAAGTTCGATCGAAGCCCAGCGGCTCCGCTGTTACAGTGTTGCACGGTGATGCAGGAGCTGCTGCAGGAGCTGCTGCGGGAGGAGTCGCTCCTGCCCTGGTGTTCCGGAGGATGGTCCCTGCTGCAGCTGCATGACGGCGCCGAAGAAAGAGGAGAAAAGTCCGATCCTGGATGGAGCGGAGCGCGTTCCCCTCCTCCTCCTCCTAATGTGAAGATCCTCCACTTCCTTATTATCACTACAGAACTACTCCACATCAACACGGCACGTTACAACATGGCCGACCCTGGGTGAAGGGACTGGAGCCACAACAGCTGGAGATGTGTCCCGTACAGCTGATCTGAGAGCAGCAGCAGAGACAAAAACCGAGAGGCAGAGCGGAGGAAAAGCAGGACAAAGACAGATCAAGTCTGAGGGGGAGGAGGAGGAGGGGGAGGAGCGGGAGAGTCCATGCACAAAAAAGGACTCCAGACTGATTTTCATATTCGGTCCATTTTTTGTTACCAGACTCGAATCTCTGCTGCCGTTGTGTGGTGTAATACTGGTACTGCATTTACAAATGCACACGCGCTCATCTGCAGAAGCAGGGTTAATGAGTCCATCAGCAGCAGCAGCCTCTGCTCCCTTTAATTAACACAGCAGTGTGTGTGTGTGTGTGTGTGTGTGAGAGAGAGATTTGGCCCAGATTGAATTTTTTTTTTTATCAGGCTCCTAGACACCAATCTGAACCACTTCATTTATCAAGTGATGACATCAACACTTGGACACAGACGGTGGTAAATGAAGTGAGTCAGAATTCAGCACGTAAAGGCAAACGGGAATAATAAAGGATTAAAGCATATATTTATAAGCTCAATATTGTGAATTATTTATGAATAATCAACCTCAGTGTTAACTTTAAAACATTATCAACACATCATTCTTGCTATGATTGGAGAAAAAGTGAGGTTTCTGTCCCTGTGTTTAAATTTAAAAAATGATGTAACAATATAATAAGTCAATCTTACGCAATAATGGAATATTAGATCTAAATCTAATAATTTAATAAATGACTATTGGTATTATTATTATATAGTTCTTATTATTGTTTTATTACAAATCATATTCCTGTTAGACATATTTGTGGCTTCATCATTTTCTTTTTCTTTTTTTTCTTCAGCTGTGGATCAGGTGGTGGTTGGAGCATGAAGAGAGTTGTTGGTTTGATTCCCCAGTCTGTTGGTCCACATGTCGTCTCATATAGATGAGGGTAAGTCAAAACATTCTTAGATAAATATATATAAAAATATCTCTATCTCTCAGTGGTGTTTCTATTTGAAAATTCCTTTTTTTTTTAATTTTTGGGAGAAAAAATTCCACTCGAACTAGATTAAAGTAAATTTTTGGGGGGAAAAAATTCCACTCGAACTAGATTAAAAACTGACAATCTTTAATTATAATAATTAACAGGTTGCTCTGATTTCACAATAGTTTGCGGTCGAATAACAACGACGTTAAAACACCTGAGTTGACGGAGGGTGAAATTACAATCACATGTGGAAAAAACCCCAGAGCTGTTTTGTGTCTGTGTGTAATCAGAGTGAAGGGCTGTGACTGTACATCACAGTGGTCGTTATCACAGCCTCGTTAGTGTGTTCCCCGCAGTTACAGTAAAAGTGTTCTGGTCGGAGCATCTGCAGCAGGAAGTTCCTGAGTAAAAAAAAAAAGTAAACAGCAGTTCTCAGTCACACCTCGTTACACCGTGTGTTCACCGGCTGTAAAAGACCTCGTAAATGTGTGTGTGTGTGTGTGTGTTTAACTTATCAATGACTGAATAAACATCTCGTTAACTGGAACTGGAAAACCAGGCTTTACCTTCTACCGACATCACGGTACCTGGAGATCCAACACTGACACCATCAGTCTGTCGCTCTGAGTCCAGATGGTCAAAGGTCAAAGGTCACACGCCTCGACAAACTCTCTGTGCTGGGAAATATGACCGAAAGCTGAAGTCGTGAAGGAAATCTAATAAACTCTAGGTGTCACTGTTGGCCGTGATGTGTCATGAAAACCCAGGAGTCATTGGTTCTGCTGCTGTAATAAACCTGGGTGAGCCACTCCCTCCCCCACTCCCTCACCCACTCCCTCACCCACTCATCAAACGCTTCCTGAAACTTCTTCAGCTGTGTCATCTGAACAAACACAGAAGAATCAGGTTCATAAAATAAAACTGGAAATATATTAATGAGTCGTTTGTGCCAGGAACTAAAGACCAGGATTTTCTTTTTGATTTTTTTTTATCAAACGTGCTTACATAATTTACATTTTAAATTCCTCATTAATATATTTCCAGTTTTAGTTTATGAACCTAATAAATGTGATATATATATATATATTTAAATATATATATATATATAAAGTAATAGTAAAAAAAACAAATTCCACATTTCGTGACGAAAACATTTTTAAATTATTCCGTGAAGGGGGGCTTCGTAAGAGTTCACAATGTAGTTTCCTCTCAACACCACGTGGGGGCAGTATTCCCTCTCTTAGACCAGAGCTTTCCCCTGTCTCCTGCCTCACATCTGACGCGTTTCTCTGCTATATTCAACGTCGGCTGACGTCATAGAAGAGTCCGCTGCTGTGATTCAGATCCAACACGGTTTCCTTTTTAATGAGTGAAGATCCGGTGTCAAAGAGAGAAGAGATTATTTTTCAAGAGTTTCAGAACAAAATGAAGAATTTTAAATCTTCATTTAAATCTTTAAATGTTTTTGTCTTTTATTTTAAATCTGTAAAACATTATAAAGCGCCTCTGCCGAGGGCAGTTGGGCACAGAATATTTGCTCTTTTTATACTGTATTTATACGTATTTATTAAAATACTTTTTAATTCTATTTTTGTAGATTTTACCAAAATATAACACAATAGAAAATATCGTAGAATCAAACGCCTCTGCAGTACCTTCACTCCGTCCCTAGGAGGTCGTAGACCCACAGTTGAAGACCTCTGCATAAAATATACACACACATATAAATGTATGAGCTAAAAACGCATTTATGAACATATATTTATATATGTATTTATACATATATGTTCAAAAAATGCTGCGTTAATATATATTTTTTAAAGTTAAGAATTCATATATGTAGACATATACCTAGATTATATTTATATACTGTATGTCCATTTCATACACACACATACTGTATATATGTGTTATATGTCCATAAATGCAGAACTTCCCCCTGACTGTAGGTGGAGCCGACGGTGAGTTTCCCCCTGTCGGTGTAAAAACCCACTGCTGCTGGTGGTCGTAAATCATGGCCGTAGTTTTTTTCTGTCCGTTTAATCGTATGTGTCACAGAATACGTCAGTGTTGAAACAGAGGAACAACGGAACAAACAGAGTCGTTGAAGAGACACGTCCTTCAACCAGATGAGTCAGGAGACAAACCTCTTTATGACTTTTGAGTCAGGCTCTTGTCTTCACTAAGACAGGTGTGAAAAAGAAAACAGGACGATCCAGGTCATTATATTAAAGTACAATAGATAAATAGATAAATAAATAAATAGAGCCTGGCGTCTCAGAGATGCAGGGAAACCATTTCAGCACCGGACAGCTCCACAAGATTTCTTTAGGCTGAAGGTTGATTTATTTTTTGTCCTAATATTTATAGTTATCAACCAGGTTAGAGTTCGAGTCTCCTGCTTAGAACAGATAAAAAAAGAGACTCTCAAGTTTTTATTGAACGTTACGTCACGGTGGAACTGACATCCAGCTCTTAGAGCCAAAGAAATATGACTCCACAGGATGAGGTTTTCATCTGTTTCATCTTCAACAAGTGCCTCAGTGTTTGTACTGAGCTCTGAGTCCGAGTCTGAGAAAAATGTTTTTCCTCGTTTTAGTCAAATCATAGTCACAGAGAAACTACCAGAAAGGTTTGGTTTAAGTCATCGGAGGAAAATCTTTTTTTTTTAAGTTGTAGCTGGCTTTGAATGAAGGAACAGGAACAAAAATGAACATTTGAACCCAGTCCTGTAGTCTAGGTTCTAGTGTTTCACAAACAACAAACTATCACTAAAAAGTCACTCAGTCAAGTCCAAGTTGACTTTTTTTAAATATTTCTGATTGAACCTGAAGACACGGAGCATAAACTAAAGTCTGGTTCAAGGTGAGCTTTAAGTTCAGTTCATCAGCGCTGGAGTCCACGACTCGAGTTGATGAAGAAAGTGTCAAGTCATTTCAGATGTTCATTGGTCAGAGTTTCAAGTTAGAGTCAACGTCACTGAATTCAAATTCAAGTTGAGTAATTTGAAAGTCACAAGAATTTAAAATTATTATTATTATTATTATTATTACATGTCTCCTCAGTCCAGAATCTTGAGTAAACCTCTCATTTTTAGGTAAAAGTCGTGAAATAGACGTAAATAAATCATATTTTTAAAGGCAAAAATGAACAGAAGCTACAAAGAAAAGAAAATAAAGAGACAAGTAATTGTTTGTGTTCTGATGAAATGACAGGAACATCTGAGCAAAACTTCCTCTCCCATAAAGTCACGTGATCTTATTTATGGTGTGACGTCATTGGTGATCATTACAAAGTCTAATTAATTATACACTTTGAATCCCGGATCCATTCTTTTTTTTTCTTTCTTTTTTTTTTCTTTATGACTTGGCTCCCCCTGTTTCATTGACGCGGGGAAGGATGCTCTCTGTCTCCCCCCCTCCCTCTCTCTCCAATGGGGGTGTTGATGGGTGGTGATTGCGGTGGGGGAGTACAATGAAGGAGGAGGGGAGGGGGCAATGACGCAGCCGCCCACCACACCTCCTCATCCCTCCACCCACACCTCCTCACCTTCGTGAGAAGTGAAAAAGCCAATGCCCGGAGAATAAAACACCGAGGGGGAGTTGAGTTCGGCAGCGGAAGGGGGAGAGAGAATATAAAAAAAAAGTTCTTGTCTGGAGCTCATCTTCTCGTTCCTTCTCCTTCCATGTACGACTACGAGTAGGTCCGCGAAAAAACCTGCCCAAGAAGTGAGCGGAGCCCGGAGGGACTGCACGGAGGAGAGGCTTCAGCCAGAACCAGAGGAGGAGAGAGGAGAGAGGGGGAGAGAGAAGAGGGAGTGAGTGAAGTGAGAGAGAGAGAGAGAGTGAAAGGGAGAGAGGAAGAGAGCGGGGCTGAGATCTCACTCTTCCCAGTCGAGGTCTTCAGCAGATCGCGTCCAGCATCTCGCCACTGGTAAGAAAAAAAACCCACTTTTTTTTCCTTTTTACGCAGCGTAAAAATCACTTTTACGCAGCGTAAAAATCTAAAAAAACAAGTTGAAATTCTGGTCTCAAAGTCACCGGATTTCTTCTCATTTATCTAATGTATTTCATTAACACTGGTTACTCTTGATGTTTCCTTTTGTTTTTTCTTTTTCCAGAAGGACAATGTCCAGTAAAGCGACTCTAATCTTTTTTATCTATGGAATAATAACGCACTACAGCGTCCACTGCTCACCTGTGGGGCTCGGCTTCCCCAGTGTAAGGTACGTACCCTGTCACCCTGTCCCCCGGCCGTTGACGTCAGTACTTTTTCTGACAGTGTGGAGTTGTATTTTATTTTTATTTTTTATTATTTTTGCCTGGAGTTAAAGGTGGAATTCAGCAGAACAGAAGTGTCGGTAGATCAGTGGATAAAAAGAGAACATGACAGATGATCCACACACAGAGATAAATATTAAACCGTGAGGAAACACTCACGGGGGGGGGGGGGGGGGGGCGGTAGGGGGACTGGGAAGCTGTGGCTCCGTCTGTCCTTGGAGCCATTACACGATCAATTTCCGCGGATCAGATCATGAAGCGGAAGTGGATTTCTGATCAACTCTGCAGAGATATTCAGCAGGGATCAGTTAGTAACAACAAGAAACTCCAGTCTGTCAGAGTCTCAGGTTTTTGATGAAATTATTTTTTTTTTCTTTTTCTTCCTGATTCCCAGATACGACAGTGAGGTGTATGATGAAGGCGGGAACTCCCTACAGTCCCTGGATTATGACACAGAGCAGGTGGACGTGAGGGACGCTCCGTCCGAGGAGGTCTACACCCTGTACTACCCTCAGGAGAAAAGGTGAGCACCTCCCCCCCCCCTCTCTCTCTGCCGCCCCTGTGTCTGTGACCACGAGTCCCTCCATCCATGTTGGAACATGTTCTGTCCGTGTTCTGTTCTTCTGTTTGACGTCGTCGGAAAGATTTTGTGTTTTTGTTAAAAAGACTGAAAAGGAAAAAAAAAAAACTAAAATCAAGTTAAACAAAAAAATCTTCAAAAATCTTCATATAATATAATTTAAAAATATATAATAACTGTTTAAAATACCATTTAATAATAATTTTAAATCTGTAGATTTCAGGCCGCTTTATATATAAAGTAACGTGAGAATTTGTGTGGTGATTCCCAGAATGGAAAGACACGCGGACGGCATGTTTAATAAAGCCTACAGGAAGGCGCTGGGTCAGTTATCAGCCAGGAAATATCTGCATTCTCTGATGGCAAAGCGTGTAGGGTAAGAACACCTTCTTGGTTCTGTCGACTTTTATTTTGAAAATGTTGACGTTTCCTGTCCTGTGTGCGTATGATTCTGTTTTTTATTTTTTTATTTTTATGATTCTTTAAAGAACTCATAACTCATGCTGTTTTACGTATTTTACATGTTCTGTGAAAAAAAAGTTACCTCAAGCGCACAGAGGGGGCGCTCGAACAGCGGTAGTATCTCTGCGAAAACTACAATTTATTAGTCCACATGAATAATTTATGCCCCAGCTTCCCAGCGGTTATTTATTGGAGGCAGAGGTGGGGTAGGTGGGGGTGGGGGGGCACAGGTAGTCAACCTATAAACAGATATTAATAATGGAGGTTTAAATGTATGCTAAAGGTTAAACAAATACATTTCCATCCATATTTGGCCTCTTTTCGTCACTGATCGTACTATATGTTATATACAATGTTATAACACGAGATGATTTTAAACACTGTGTTAAATTTACAGCATGTTCCTGAGTGGAACATGCCCCTCAGTGGGAGATGAGGAAGACGTTGACTGAAAAAGAGCTAAAAAAAAAAGAGAAAAGCTAAATAAATAAATAGCCCAGACATAAATTTAAGTTAAAAAAATTAGCAAAGATGGTTTCATGTTAGCATACAAAGCAAGCTAGGAAGAGGTAGTCTTAGTTCTTAGCCCAAAAACAACATTTGTTGTTTGTAAATATTTATATAAAATACATTATTAAAAAGACATTCGATGGATAAACAGTAGATAAATGTTGCCAATATTTAAAGAAAGAAAAAACAAGTTAAATAGTAATAGTTAGCAAAAATGGTAAAATGTTAGACTTGGAGCTAAAATTCACCAAAATACTTGACTTCTCAAATACTAAAATATTTAAATATTGTCACAGTTCTTTAAACAATACATGGATTATATTACGCAGAAAAAAATAAAATACATTTTTATTGTGACAAAAATCAACTCACTCCACCACATCACCTGCTGCTATTTTGCCAACACGCAGTAATGGTAATTTGCGCTACCACAAGGGGGAGCCTTCTTTTTTTTATTTCATGAGTGTGATGATGGTGCTGTTTCCCCCCCTCTCCTCCCCTCCCCACCCTTGTCTCTCGGTCACAGCGGGGGGAAGACGGAGGAGGACAGCTCGGAGCCCCTGTCCAAGCGACACTCTGACGGCATCTTCACGGACAGCTACAGTCGCTACAGGAAGCAAATGGCCGTCAAGAAGTACCTGGCCGCCGTCCTGGGGAAAAGGTATAGACAGAGAGTTAGAAGCAAAGGACGCCGGATGGCATATTTGTAGCATCCTGAATCAACCCCCCCACACACACACCCTAAAAAAAACAACCTTAAATGTGTGCAGCCCCCAGATCTGAACAATCAGTGGAGTCGCTTCTGTGTTCTTCAACATGTATTAATGTGTGAAGGAAGCCATTTTGATAATGATACTGTTTTTATTTTCTACCCTAAAGCACTTGAGGACACACACACACACACACTTGGTGGACCTATTGTTTTGTCAGTGTAAAAAGAAAACAGAAAACATAGCCTCTATTTATGTATTCATGGATTTATTTTTCCTGTAAGGATTGAGGCAGGACAGCGGATTCGCTCCGACAACCCAGTCTTTTAAACCTTTAGTGAAGGGATTGCGATTGTTGAGGAGGAGAAAAAGTTTAAAAGACAATCAATGTGTTAAATGCTGATTTTATTTATTTATTTATTTTTAACCTGTTGTTAACGTGACTTTAAGACTTTAGTTGTCTCTATTCACAACAGCCCTGAAGACGTAGATTTCCCACAATTCCTACAAGACATAGACTTTGACGCCCTCCCGGACGGGGATGAGCTTGAGGCTTTTTTGGGAGACTGGCTGAAACAGTTCTCTCCAGAGTTTCCGGTGAGTTCTAGGCTGGTCTCTGCAGACCACGTCCTCACAGAGGGACGGCTCTAATGTCCACTTCCTCTTCCTCTTTTCCTTTGAGCCGTGCTCCGAGCACTTAAATCCAACTCTTCTTCCACCTCATTTGTGCTTCTGTTTCCTCAAACGTCTCACAGATTGAACCTTTATTCCCATACTGAGTATACCTATCATGGGTTTCCAACCTCTGGCTCGAGGGCCCATGACTTGTCTCATCAAAATTTCTTTTGGGGCCTCTAGATAATAATAATAGCACAGTGTATTGGATCACATTTTGGCTGCATTTGAGTCTAAATTACAAAGAATTAAGAATTCTTATAATTTATAACATACTTTAAAAAACATTTTTTGCTATTTATTTGTAACATTTGCTAACAGCTAACAGCTATCAATATTTTTGACCCTATTATAGGGTCCAATTACCAAGCCATTGTGTAGAGAGTCTGATAATACACTGATTTGTTAGCATCCTGCTAATGGAGGATTCAAATTAAAGCTGTTAGAGTGGCTTTTTAAAACCACAAAAACATTCATGTGACTAAAAGGCTGAAAACATTTATATTTTTATTTTTCAAACTTGATTTTCTGAGCTGAGGACCAGAGAACTTTTGAGCTTTTTCTCTTCATTTCCTCTCGGGGAGACTCTCACCTCTGACCTGTGTAAAGTGCCAATCCTGTGTTTCTTTTCCACGTGTTCTTGTTTGACTGACAAGCTCAGCTGATGGTTTCCTCATGTCTCTTCCATTTAATAAGTATCATTAACACCAAACCAACGTCCATGAGTCAGGACGTTAAACAATTCCAGACAAAGTTAAAACTCTTTTTTTTTTTTCAGTGATACTTGTTAGATGGACGTGTCCTTGTCAAGAGACATTTGTGATAATTTGGACTTTTGTGTTTGAACTTATTGGGGTGACTGTGCTTCCCTTTTTCTGTCATGTGAAACAAATGTACAAACTCCAGTAGAATGCATGATTAAAGTAACTGCACTCACCACTGCATCTGTGCGGACGACTCTAACCCGATGGTTTTCCTTGCTTTCTTACTTTCCTGCTGCAAACATACGTAAATATATCCATATATATTCTACACACCTGTCACCTGTCGGTGTGTCTTTGTGTTCTGTTTTTTTCCTCTTTTCCTCCACACGTGTTTGTGTTGGACTCTGAAGAAACTGCTTTGAATGTATTTGTCACTAAAGCACCTGGAGCGTTTGTGTTCATCGGTTCATCACAGCATCTTCTTCACTCGTACTTGACGTATGAAAAAAAAATATCCTCAAACATAATCTGGATTTTTTGGAATGGTTTATTCATGTTTATATAATATATAATATTGATTTAAATTTAGCTTTATTTACCTACATGTGTAACAAACGTTTGTGCCCCAACTGCTCTGTCCATTTCTTATACACAGTCAATAAAAAACATGTAGTTAAAGTAAAATCATGAGAAAGAAATCTCATTAAGAATAGTCCTTAAAAAAAAGATTTTTTTTTTGTAAAAAAGCTAGTTTTTCTTTAAGTTTCTTGTGTTTTTTTTGTGTCAATCTTTCTTTAATTGTGCATTCTTCTCCAGGCTGTGTGACGCAGGGAGCAGTTTACGGCTGTGGTGCCTTGCATCGACTTTAAAAATCGCCATGAATCACAGATGGCTATTTAGTGGCCCTACAATGCTGCACATCATCAGCTTACATTTCACCCTTCTGTTGTTGTATTTGTGTTGCCCAGACAGTCGCTGGGATCGTCCTCCATGTCTAGTCTCGGAGAGCGGAGCGTTCTTCACTTCCGCTGGTTTCTTTTGCACTTTGTCTTGAGAGCAATGGATTTTGTGAAAGCAAAGAGAAAAGACCAGTGAGCTCTCTCCGTGGAAACGTTACACTGTATGTTAATGAAAGCGCCAATAGCCTTACAATCATCTCTAAAGATCCATATATATAGAGAGAGAGACAGAGATATATATATAAAGATATACATATATTTAGTGTGTAGTTAGTGAATAGTAGATTATTACTTCAAATCTGCAAGGCAGTCAATAAATGTTTAAAAAAAAATGTTGTAAGATTTGTATGAATAAATTTTTGTAAACAACAAATAATTTTGTCAAGTCTTTGAAGCCGGAGAACACACATCGAGGAACAGGGAATGTGAAAAGTCATGTGAGATGCCACAGAGGCGCCCTCACCTGTTGCAGTGCAATCTTGCATGGAAAAAAAGATTTTATTTACCACAAGCAAGCGCTAATGCTAGTGCTAGCAAGATTGATTTAAAGATGGAATCTTGCACGGAAAACATTTTTTATTTACCACAAGCAAGCGCTAGTGCTAGTGCTAGCAAGATTGATTTAAAGTAATAAACCAAATATCATAAACATCATCAGTACGGCAATTTAGCAGAACATTTTAAAAATGAAGAGTTAAATAATTAGCATTATGGCTCAACAAGTTTCAGTAGCCCGCTAAAACGTGCTAGCTGCCAGCTAACTGCCTCCATGGCTATGACTCCGAAACATGCTAATGCAGCATATGCTAACACCCAGTGGTCAGTTCAATTAAAGCATCTATGTCACATCATATAAAATACATATAAGAGAGTCATCGTTAGAATGTTAGCTATCGTGCTAACAGGTAATACTAATGGGCTGAAAACTTGCGTTACCGACATTTGAATTTTCATCACCGTGTGAGTGGGTGGTGTGAGGACCACGGAAACAAAAGGATGATCTTCGGAGAGAGGGCCGCGTCTTTGGCGTTCTTTTCCACTGACTCAGTTGTTTTGGCGAAGGAACGGTGGCACCAGTTGGCCGGGTGTCTCGGCCCCCCCTACAGGACAGCATGAGTAAAGAGACGTGGGAGGGATGGCTTAGGCTTGCTGCACTTTACACCTCTGCAGGACTTCAGCAGTCACCACTGAAGAAGAAGAGGAACTGGTGGAACAGTTGGTCACTCTCGAACACTGGTACATTCACTTTGTGCCAAAAAACAATGTGGAGCGACGGAGCCGAGAGAAAACCATCCACCAAACCACAAGACGAGACGGGAACTGCTGCAGCATTACCTACAAAAAACAGTATATACACAACAAAATTACATTTGTTTGTTTTTTAGCTAGTCCATAGCCTTGGGTACGTCAAGGGTTAATCTCATGTTTAAAAAACACGTTTTTTAATTTCAAAGATATTGAAACAAACAATAACTCACTATATGTTTATTTGCATAATCTAAAAACCTGGTCATAAGTCACAGCAGTGGTGGATTTGTAGAAGCCACTGACCCCCCCATACCCCCCCCCCGTCTGTCATATATTACGTGCAGACTGAAGTCCCTTTAAAGGCCGAGGATTCAATCATATCACCTGCATGTGTGAGAGCATCAGGCTGTGATGTGTGGAGACAGAGACAAAGCCCACCGTGTCTGCCTCTGTAATAACACCCCCCCACCCCCCTACCCCCCCTCCTCTGACACACGGGGGCAGCGCTTTGATTTTGTGGCCTCGGCCTGAGCTCTCAGAGGAGCACGTACGGGAGATGATCAATGGCGGTGATCTGATTCCTCCAGCCCAGGCCAGACCCTTCCTTAACCTTGCTAACCCAATCAGACGGTGTAACCAGGCAACCGTTCCCGGGAGGATGCAGCGAGAGTGGGCGTGGTGAGGCGAGGGCCATCCCGGGCACCCACAGATCAGCGTTAGTTATATTTCACTCACGACTTGGGTGTCAGCGCTGTCGTCTTTACTGGCTGGAGCAGCAGAACGCAGGGCGGTGAAAACAAACCCTGAGTGATGAGCAGTGATACGGAGAATTGCACAGACATAAAAATAAAAAAAATGACACAGACAGTCACACAAAGTGGGGAAAAAAAATATGATCTGATGTAGAACACACACACAGACATGTTTCCTGTCTGTAGGAGTTTCCACATATCTATTAATAATATAATAATATAATAATAATAATCTGTGTAGGTGCAGCTTCAGGCACTTTTAGATCCACAGCTGCAGGTCGTACCTTGAACCTTGGATCTCCCTGCTCCTGTGGGGGCTGCGTGAGTGACAGGTTTCTACAGGGAGAATCCACATGCAGTCCTTTCAC